ACAGAAGAGAAAATTTTACTTATTTCCATGGAAAACATGAATTCTATTTATTAAACTCACTAGGATGTGATATGGTATCTTGTCTCCAGAAGCATTGAACTTGGTTAAGGATTAACACTGACCCTGTTTGCAATTAAAGTATTTTGCAAAAGAAATGATAAAGGTAAAATAATGTAGTGACTTATATGACTCATTTCTTAGGTTCTTAAATTTTATAGCCTAAAATATCAGTATTTGGATGTATCAATTTGGAAAAACTTCTAGGATAAAATAGTATTTACTCAAAAGTAGAGAGAGATAACAGACTGATAGGACATTTTAAAGGCACCTCATTGGTTCATTTGGTATGACATTTTATGCCCTCTCTTGTACACATAAAAAGACATGTAAAAAATATTTTTAAACCATGTAAATGTTTAGCATAATATGAATAATGGCTTTTCCCAAAGAATATTGGTATACAGGGAAAGCAATATAAAGAAGAAAGCCATTTGTTTTTTTATAAGGAAGAGGAAACATCTCAGGAATGGAATTAGTAATTATAAAAGAACATCCTTGGAAATCCTTTTAAAAAAATTATTGCTGCTTTTTCTATATACACTCACACACACTCATATACACACACATCATGGATTAAATGTATGCAAAGAGCACTTCTCACATCAAGAAATAAGGTCTACACAAGCCACCATTCTTGTTTCCTCGTTGTACAAGACTATATCACTTTCCAGCTGGTGTCTAAGTGTGATCTCATTCCAGAAACTATTTGGGTAACTATTTTCAAAGCAACAGAGACAGAATAGAAATTAAGCCAATTCATGGTACTGGTGGGTTGTGTGAAATAATCAGGTTTTTTTTTTCCAACAAAAGGACTTAACTTACTCAGACTCCCGGCTGCTTCTTGGTTACTTAAGTGCTAAATCTTTAGTGAATTGTTTGCTGTAAAAAAGAAAGAGGAAAGAAAAAGAAAAAAAAAAAAAAAGCTTAGCATCTATCCCTTTCATTAGATCAAGCACAAAACATCTTACCTAAAAAATAAAAAAAATAAATAAATGGCTTCAATGAAACATTTCTCCTGCATGCTTCAACACACTATAAGGTTCTCATGCAGAACTGTGAAAGTTTCATAAGACAATGCCTGTGCAAGATTAAGTGGCTCAGAAATAAGCAATCTCCAGTTGCCATCTAGCTATGAGTTTTTATTCGTACAAATTCAGGTGTTTCTTTGAATGACTCCAAGCATTAATGAATGACGCTGAATTCATAGTACTTTAAGATGAAATTAATATTCTATAAGTGGCTAATTCCTTGAATCACCTAGGACTTTTCAAAAGTAACTTGTAATCTTCCAGTTTTTTTCTCATTCCTAACATTGGCCCAAAATGGAGAGTCAATTTTTCCTGTCCTTACATTTTATTATTACCTTTCACTTTCTCCATATATATGTGGTAATTTCTCCCTTTCTACATGCTCACACTCAATCAATTCCTAGAAAGAGTGCAAGTTTTATGAACTTCTTAATGGATTCTCTCAACCAACAGTTTTCTGTCTGCCAAGTATGTGATAGAGACTGTTTCGGGTCTTAGAAAAACAGAAGGAAATTATCTTTTCCCTTAAGAGTTTAGAAAATATTTTCAAACTTACTCATTCCTTGTCCAAGACAGCAGGTTTGACCATGTAAGGACAAGGTGTGTGATAAAGAAACACATAAATTTGCAGTCATATTTCTTGGTTTTGAGAATACACCAAAATCTATTACACTTTATTATCTCCTTGTCTTTTTAAAATTAGTTTGCTTACACTTAGAATTCCTTTCTATCGCTTTTTCATTCTCAAATCCCAGATCAAAAGGCCTAAGTGTTTCAATTGCATAATTTCCTGACACCTTTAGTTTCATTGTCTCTGTTATAACTCATAGCATATTGTGTTATAATTACAATGACTATAGGAAAAGTGTTATAAATTACATTAACTATAGGAAAAGAGCTTAAAATTTACTGGTTCATAATAAGCTCTCAATAAATATATGCTTTCAAGAGGAAAAGGAGATCAGAATATCTGTCTGTTTAACTTTGCCTAACCTCTGAGTTTGGTGGGGTTTGTTTATTTGTTTGGTATCTTTCTATCCTTTTGTCCAACAGAGTATGCCTGTTGAATTGATGTGTTGAAAATTAGAGAGGGAAAAAAAATAGATACTGATCTACATGTTACCCTTAACAAGCTTGTGGTATTCCTAACATCTTGTTTGTAACCCAAAAATACACCCATAGAGACTATTTTCTTCAGTATCATTCCTCGACAATATTTGGGTGGAGAGAACTTGTAGAATAATGTTCTCAAATAGCTACTGCCTTGTATTCTAAATATGAATGTGTCTCTCTTACAAAATAGAGATTAAAAAAATAGTAATAACCTATAGTTAAATCCTTCATCTACAAAATCTTGCCATGTTCATGCTAGAGAATTTTGAAAATGTGTTCTGACTGTGGCTAGAGGAATGGTGATCTGTATATTTAAATATGTCACCCATTATTTAACACATAGGGGGAAAAGGCCCAAAGAGTGATTTCTAGTAAATGAGACTTTTTATTAGCTTCGTTTTAAAAGACAGTCTCCAAATGCAAATGAAACAAGTATCTATAGAAAGAGCAGCAAGATTTAAGAAGCAGTGAAATGTTTAGGGTATTCATATTTTATTACAAATCCAAATTAATATTTAAAGAAGTGTATGCCATATGCCTACTTCAGCATTTGGTATGTCTTCTTATGCTAGTCTTAGAAGCAAAGTCATTACTTCATGCTAATATTTCATAAATATTTATAATTTTCAAAGTGGGTATTTTTAGAAAAAAAATCTCATTCTTCAAATGAAACACTGAGAATTTTAAAAAGAAATGCAGACCATGACAGCTGGGAAAAATTGCAAGCTTGCTATTGAAATAGTCTAAAAGTTTTGTTGGCTGCATTAATCTAAATTTACTATCATTATTCTGTCACCACTACTAACTACCACTACTAATGTTCACAGTGGTAACTCCCTTTATTTAAATGGACAAATTTTTACAGAAGTATTTATTGATCTTTGGTTCTCACAACAACCATGCCAATGATGGAATTTTTCCTAAGGAAAAAAATCCTAGAGAAGAAAGCATCATGTGCAGAAAGATGTTCATTCTTGTGTTATATATAATAATGAATACTAAAAAGATAAATGTCAAACCACTTGTCAGAATGGTTCCTTAAATTAATGTAAAGTCCACCTGTCAAAAAGGAAGAATCCTTTTGTTATCCTATAAGTAGAAAATACTAAGAATAAAACTTATATGTGCATGACCATGGTAACTATGGAAATATCTCTGTGTATTTAGGTAAGGCCTCAATGGTAATGTGGGCAAATACAAAGCTTGTTATGATGGGTGACATAGCAGCAGTGTTTGTATTGTTTTTGATTTTCAGTAAAATTGGTATTATTTATTATATCATATACATTTTTGATAATCCAATATAAAGTTAAATGCATATGCTTATGAGAAAAATATCTGCTAATTGTATGTATTACATAAAGCAGTGCATCTCCTTAGGGGAAGACTTCTGCAAACACTGATTACAGGCTTCTTTTCAAGGGAATGTGATTCTTGCCCTCCCCACATCACCGTTTTTGCATATGGATCACAAGGGATGATTTCAGAAAATACCACTACATAGGCTATACCCCAAGAAGTGGTTTTTAACAGGCCTGGGGTAGGGTCCAGACTTTGGTGCTTTGCTCTTTTCTTTAAGTTCTCTGGTAATTCTACTGTAAAACTTGGATTTAGAACAACTAAAGCAATTGTAACCAACAACTGAAATTTTATATTTTTAATTATTAAATTGCCAGAATTTTCATCTCTAGAATAAGACTTTCAAGAAAAAGCATGTTATTTGAGTGAAAACTGATGTAACTTAAGATCTCATTAGTATACTGTATCTTCATGCTATCAGAGTAACAAATACTTTAAAATAATGATAAATCGTAGTGTTGGTGAGCAAAATAAATACTGTTAAAATACTTTATAGAAATGTAAATTGAATATGTATGATAAACTTCTCTAGACAATCCATATCCCAAACTTTTAAAATAAGAAATTCCTTTTGTCCTGGAATTCTACTTTTAAGAATTTGTCCTGAAAAAATAATTGAACAAGTTGTCAAAGTTACTTTAATAAGAAGGTTTACCTTAGAGTTGCTTCCAGTAGTAAAAATCAATCAGTCATATCCATGATTGTGTATTGATTCAATTATGGTCAATTATGGTATCATAGATCATAGTTTTGGAGTTAACATAGCAAAATAGCTTTGGAGGTAACATTAGTTAACATGGAATAATATTCACATTAATATTCATAAATGAAAAAAGTTATATAACAGCATTATTGTATTTTTTTTTAAATGTATTCATTTTTTAAAATTGTATATAGACACACACTCATATAAATCTACATATGTAACTCCATATAGGTGGGAAAGCCAGAAAACTACACACCAAAATATTGTTTGCTATCTCCATAGGGACTCTTTATTTTCCATTTTACATATTCAAGATCATTGTAGCTTATTCCCACTGAAAACATATGCCAGTATTATAAAGACAAAAACTTTTTTATGAAAAAATACAATATGAAAAATGAAGGCTTTTTTTTTATCTTCCAAATTGAATGAACTACAACAGAGTCCCTAACCTTCACTTTCTAACTGTAAATAGCAAGTTACATGATAGTTACAGCTATTTCCCAACATGCTGAACTTCCACAATATATTTCTTTTCAAGGAGATTAGAAAGTATAAAGTGAAATTTAAGTTTTATTCACAAATTTCAAAAGTCTCTGCTTACAATTTTAATCTGATTAAAATCAATAAAGGGTACATGTAATGAATTAATGGAATTGTAACTTGGTGTACTCTTATGGGGTTGTTTTCTTTAACATCCGTAATTAATAAGTGTCTCTTTTTCTTCATTGTAGGCGGCTCGGGACCATCATCCTCCATAGCCATAGCCGGCACCAACCACCCTGCCATCACAAAGACAACGTCTGTCCTTCAAGATGGTGTCATAGTCGCCACCGCAGCTGGAAACCCACTGCAGAGTCAGCTGCCCATTGGGAGTGATTTTCCTTTTGTTGGCCAGGAGCACGCACTTCATTTTCCATCCAACAGCACTTCAAACAACCATCTTCCACACCCCTTGAACCCCAGCCTCCTCAGTTCTCTACCTATCTCTTTGCCAGTGAATCAACAGCATCTCCTAAACCAGAATCTATTAAATATCCTCCAGCCTTCAGCAGGAGAAGGCAAGTCTGAGATCAACCTCCACCCTTTAGGTTTTCTCAACCCGAATGTAAACGCTGCTTTAGCTTTTCTCTCCAGTGACATGGATGGGCAGGTATTGCAACCTGTTCACCTTCAGCTCTTAGCAGCCCTGCTTCAGAACCAAGCCCAAGCAGCTGCCATGCTTCCCCTGCCATCTTTCAATCTGACCATCTCAGATCTTTTGCAACAGCAAAATACCCCTTTACCCTCATTAACACAGAGGACAGCCCCACCAGACCATTTGCCAAGCAATCAGTCAGAGAACAGTCAAGCTGAGACCCTTTTAACCAACCCCCTGGGGAACCCTATACCAAGCTTTGCAGGCAGTGACACTACTTTTAACCCCCTGTTCCTCCCAGCTGTCACTGGGGCCTCAGGATTAATGGCCTTGAATCCCCAGCTGTTGGGAGGTGTCCTGAACTCGGCATCGGCCAACACCGCTAATCATCCAGAGGTTTCCATAGCAACTTCCTCCCAGGCAACCACTACCACAACCACTACATCATCAGCAGTGGCAGCACTGACTGTCTCAACACTTGGTGGGACAGCAGTGGTGTCAATGGCAGAAACATTGCTGAATATATCTAATAATGCTGGGAATACACCTGGTCCAGCTAAACTCAACAGTAACTCTGTGGTGCCACAGCTACTTAACCCTCTACTGGGGACAGGTCTGCTTGGTAAGTTAAATTTTTTCACAGATTTTTACAAAAGAAACGTTTTTCTAATTCTACTTTCTTTTTAAAAACTCCATTTTGTCACACTATTTTTAAAATGTTTTTGTTATGTCACAGTTGCTTAAGGAACTAAATATAATGACACCCACACACAACCATAGTGATACAAACATGAAAATGACTTTTTCCTTTGCCCCTGTTCTAGCAATACTAAATATCTTAATCTGCTTTCTCTTACCTTCTAATTCTGATGCCACCGAAACCTAACCTACCCATCACTCTCTTAAGCCAAGTAGAGTCTTACTTCTCCAATAATAAAGCACAGGCACATCTTTAAAATAACTTTTATTTGAATTTTAGTTGGTGTGGCATCACAGGGTTAGTATGAGCAGCTGCACTGTGGATGGAAATAGTTCAAGGAAGTGTGTTTTTCCAGGTGATCCCTTAATAAACAAAAATAAGTGCTTATCCAGCAAAATAAGAAACAAGACATAAAAATATTCAGAGTTAAAGGCCCAAATTCAAGGATACAGACCCAGTAGCTACTGCTAGATTTTCTTAGTATTACTCCGTATTAACTTGTAACTTGAAATCTTCATGGAGATTACTCAATCACAAAAAAGTTAGAAAATAATGTCATGTACAATCAACTGATTAGTGGAGGTAATTATAATATTGAGTACAGAGATGTGTCCATAATGTCTGGAAATACAGACATATGTATGATATTACTAAGGAAATGCCAGTTTTTTTAAAACACTGTTTCCAGATTTTTATGGATTTGATGCAGTATAATTAGTTCTATTTGCCATTGAATTCAGAATAATTAAATAATCTAAATGGCATTATAGATGTATGTATTTCAAGTTGCAGAACAATTTCTATGGTATTCTAAGGATAATTTTTTAAATTAATTTTTATTTAAATTTAGTTATTAATCCCATCTGATTACATACTGTGTTTAGTTTTAATGATTATGCCAACTAATTGTTTTGGTTTCTTTATAATTGTAATTTTAGTGATCAACCTTTCACTTAAAAACAAAATACTTATTTCTAGACCCAGCCAATTTTCATTTGGTGGTATTTATAGATTATTGTGGCTTGAGAGCAAATATTTGTTGTTACAGCCTGTCCATACCCACTTAGTTTAATCATATGGTAAAATACTTAGATTGCTAAAATGTCTTAAGACTAACATCAGCCTTTATTTGTAGGTGCTCTAATAAAAAGAGTTTCAAGGAATTATATGACATTGAATCTAAGGATTGGCTAGTGGATAGGACATAGAAAAAGCAGTCTTTCCATGTTACAAAATCATAAAAGCCAATGATGAAAGACAAAATCAAATAATAAAACTTTTTCCTTACCCACTAGTAAAACTTTAAGGAGAAAAAGAGAAAAAAAATTACCTTATAAATATAGATTTTAGATTTTGTTTCAGGATTCCTTAGGTACAAAGATAGGCATAGGATCTCCAAAGAATTGCATTGACTTACATTTTATGTTTTTCAAACTATAGGTGACATGTCCTCAATAAACAATACTTTGAATAACCATCAACTGACACATCTACAGTCGCTGTTAAACAACAATCAGATGTTTCCTCCAAATCAGCAACAACAGCAACTTCTTCAGGGGTACCAGAATCTACAGACATTTCAAGGACAGTCCACAATTCCTTGCCCAGCTAACAATAACCCCATGGCTTGTCTGTTTCAGAACTTTCAGGTACTCCCCTTTCCTGGGTTACTTTAGTAGAAAACAATGTCTAGGTTTATTAAATGCTTCACTCAAGGGACGAGACAAGAGGGAAGTTATGTGCTGGTTTACCTTTGTTTACTATTATTTCTCAGTAGTGAATATTGTTAAATTATACCATTATTTTGTGTGAGTTTATTTTATTTTGATAAACAATCTCAGTGGTTCTTTTGGAGCTGCTAGTAAGAACCGATCACATTCCCCCTTTAAATACTTTGGCTCTCATAATTAATGTCCACATCCTTAATTTGCCTAACCTATCTTGATCTCCAGCTCCAATTCTTACATCTCCTTGGATTCAGACATGTGGTCTTCCTTTAGTGCTACAAACTAAATAAATTCTGAGAGAGTAACATGAAATAAATATAGGAAGTCATATAGAAACTTTTCAGAAATAATTCTGGGTTAGAGAATGCTCTATCAGCAACACACAAAACCAATAGGTCAAAAAAAGTCTAAAACTTGAATACATAATACCTGCAAATCTCTTTATGATCAAACAAAACTTCTAAAGAAAGTTAAAGTGGCAAGCTGGCAGAAAATATTTGTGTATTACATAATAATTGACACTGATAATATAAAATAAGTCTATAAATCAGGGAGATAAAAGATGATTGATTAGAAAAATAAACAATAACTATTAACAGTTCAAAATGAAAGGTAATAAATTATTGATAAGCACATGAAAAGAATAATCAGTTAAACACATGAAAAGAACAATCAGTTATAAAAATTATGATATTGTTGTTTAGCAGATTGATTATAATCCTTGTTGACAAGGATATGGAGATATGGATTCTTTTAGATAATACTCTTGATTTGATTATATATCCTTTTGTAGGCTAATTTAGGAGTTTATGGAATTTTTTTTAATGGATGTAACTTCTGATGGCAGGAGTTTAACTTCTATGTCTCTATTTAAAGGAATCTTCGTTAAAAAATAAGGACACATACCAGTATACTCGTTATAACATGATTTGTACTGTTAAAAATAGAAACTAAACATCCATCAATAAGGAAATAGTTAGATATGTTATAGTACATACACTTATCTAGTAAATAAAAAATTAGGTAGAACTATATAATTTTATTTCTAAAGTTGAACTCTATTTTCTCTGTTAAGTAAGGTGATTTACTAAGAATAGCATACCAAACAACTGGCTTGTTGTAGCAGTTGGCTTGAAGAAGTGGATGAAGATTTGCACAGTTGAGGATCACAGAACTGAGGGAGTAATAAGGCCCTACCAATGACTTAGAAGTCATAAATTCCAATATCACTCAAACATCCTTTATAGATAAGGCAGATAGTTAAATTGATACAAGACTGAGATTTTGTCTGGTAGGTGTAGATAGAAGATAATGGCAAGAAAATAGGTCGAGGTACAAGAAGTAAAGACAGGAAGATAGTAATTGATGAATAAAGTTTGGAGCAAAAATTATTAGAAGAGGAGGATGAAATTACCACACTAACCATGCTTTAGAAACTTTCGAACTGTACTCATCCTTCCTATGCTGAGCAGTGATAGTCTACTCTTCCCTCCCCCTTCTTCCCAATTGGGAATCTCTTCTATAGAGAACCATCATCACTATTGACAACATGGAAGTGTCCTCCACTGGTAGCCTAGCAAGGTTGAAAAGTGGGTGTTCTATCTGAAGACTTCAAAAACTTAGTATCATACTAGAAATATATTACTGTTAAGAAAGGAGTGTATGTGTGTGTATCTTACTTTGTTTTATCTGATAGTGTAATTCCATAGGAATGAGAAATCACTTTCAAAGTCTGGTTCCTTTTGCATTTTGAGCAAAAGTGACTGACTTGTTCATCCCTTTAAGTCCCAATTTACAAAATCTGTAACAATACGATGTGGATTCATCACATGAAAACATTTTGTATTCAATCTTCTCAATTTTAATTTTTCTAAAGCATGGTTAGCAATGGTAATTTTTTTTAATATTGAATGATTTCAGCCAAAGAAATAGTACCCAAATATAATCAAGACATACACTTTTTTCTATAGTGACTTTTGGTTTCATTTTTGAATCTTGTTCTTTCATGATGTTTCCTTCCTTGTTAGATTTGCTTATCTCTTAGTAAATTTTAAAATTGTGGTCTTTCTTTTTAAAAACGTTTAAAATGTTTCTGTGTCACATGAATTCTTATCCTTGTCTTTAAGGTGAGAATGCAGGAGGATGCAGCTCTCCTAAACAAAAGAATAAGCACTCAACCAGGGCTCACAGCACTTCCTGAGAATCCAAACACTACACTTCCACCTTTCCAGGAGGCATCTTGTGAGTTGCAACCTAGGATTGACCCATCCCTTGGCCAGCAGGTGAAGGATGGCCTCATTATGAGTGGCCAAGGTGATGCTTCTGTAGATGCCATTTACAAAGCAGTCATTGATGCAGCCAGCAAAGGAATGCAGGTGGTCATTACCACTGCAGTCAACAGTACAACTCAGATCAGCCCCATTCCAGCTCTGAGTGCCATGAGTGCCTTCACTGCCTCGATTGGCGACCCATTAAGTCTCCCCAGTGCTGTCAGTGCGGTCATTCATGGACGAAACATGGGCATCGTCGATCATGATAGTAGGCTGAGAAATGCGAGAGGGGCACGGCTGCCCAGGAGCCTGGACCATGGGAAAAACTCCAGCGAAGGAGATGGGTTTGAATATTTCAAGTCAGCAAGTTGTCACACATCCAAAAAACAGTGGGATGGGGAACAAAGCCCTGGAGGCGAGCGAAACAGGTGGAAGTGTGAGGAATTTTTAGACCATCCAGGCCATATCCACAGTAGTCCTTGTAATGAAAGGCCCAACAATGTCTCTACACTGCCATTTCTGCCTGGGGAACAGCACCCAATACTGTTACCGCCAAGGAACTGTCAAGGGGATAAAATTCTGGAGGAAAATTTCAGGTATAATAATTACAAAAGAACTATGATGAGTTTTAAGGAGAGACTAGAGAACACTGTGGAACGATGTGCACATATTAATGGTAACAGAACTCTACAGAGTCGGGGATTTGGAGAACTGTTGAGCACCACAAAGCAAGATCTAGTCCTAGAGGAGCAGTCCCCAAGTTCCTCAAACAGTTTGGAAAGTTCTCTGGTCAAAGACTACATCCATTACAATGGAGACTTTAATGCCAAAAGCATTAATGGGTGTGTGCCTAGCCCTTCAGACGCTAAAAGTATTAGTAGTGAAGATGACCTAAGGAATCCAGACTCCCCCTCTTCAAATGAGTTGATACATTATAGGCCAAGGACGTTCAATGTTGGCGACTTGGTCTGGGGCCAAATCAAAGGACTGACATCCTGGCCTGGAAAATTAGTAAGAGAAGACGACGTTCACAATTCATGTCAACAAAGCCCCGAGGAAGGGAAGGTATACAAATCTTTATCCATTGTCGAATAACCTTTGTTCAGGTATTAATTATTCTTTTTTGTTATCATCACTTTGGATTCTTTGGATTTGAAATTAGGATTCTTCATGACTTACTGAGGTCTCCCAGACTTCTGGAGCACAAAATGAAGAGGGGATGTTTGTAGTCACCAAAATTTCGTATCATCAAGGGGTGAGTTGTAAAGTATTTGTAGGGCTTAGGGGGGACTCTAACCGAGGACCCAGATCTCCAGAGTTTTGTTAATATTGTCTTCTTTCCCTGCGTTTACCTTATTCTTCATTCCATGCACAGAGGATGAAGGCAGGTAGCAATGACTGGTAATAAAATCTGGTGGCATTGGAGTCCAGGAGTGCGGCAGAGGTAGGCACCCTCCCAGGGGATAGGAAGTGCCAGGGGACAGTCTGTCCTTTGTGTGCTTGCCTGTGACACATGGAGCTGGGGAGAGGGAGGCCTTTACAGCCATTTCTGGAAGCAGCAGGTAATGTCTGAGTTCAGAATGGTGTCTCCTTTCAGGAAAAGTTCTGAGCCTTTGTAACATATGGAAATGTTTAACCTCATAGTCTGGTTCTACTTAACACAGTCTGATCATATAAATTAAATGAAAACTTCTCCATGAAACTACCATTTAATTTAGCAGAAATTAGTAGGGGTTCTTCTGGGCTTTTCTCCCCCCTCACAATTGATAAAATTGGCTTTCTAGGCAAGAAATATGTAGAATGTTTAAAGTAGATAGAAAAATTTATATCTCACCAGGAGGAGATAATTATGCACATTCCTCACATATGATAAAGAAACATGTAATTTTTCATCTCCTTAGGAAACAAAAAGTACTCTCACAGATATGTATTATTCTGTTAAAGAGTATATTGTCTAGAACTATTTCAACGTTGCTCAAACCTCCACTGGCACTTAGGTTTAATGGCAGGAAATCAAAAGCATTTTTGCCAGCACAATAAAAGGATTGTCTTTCTCCAAATGACCAGGAGGTCCTTAAATCCGTCGCTTATAATGCCTAATATATACTTGTCAGGATACACTCTCAGCATAATGCTTCTACTTTTGATAAGAAAATGAATTCCATACTTCTGTTCAAGAAACATTTTATTCTCTATACTCTCTGAGACCAGACAAACATTCTTTAGGTTGATAAACCTAACTATTTTTGACAGTTTATTCAAAAAATAATTAGAAACAGCAAGATTGAGCTTTTAGGATATAAATGGCACGGCTACAAATACAAGATACAGACACTGAAATGTTTCTACAGTCTCTATGCAGATGAAACCAAGTCTTTTTTATGGGCCATTTTACAAAAACATAACTAAAGGAAAGATTATGGCCTGCCTTTCCTGGAAACATTCTTCCTGTCCTAAACACCTTGTTTAAATATCTTTTCATGACCTCAGGAGAATAAATACTTCTACTTTTAACACATTTCACACTAAACAATAACCCTAACCTGCTGATTAGTCTGTGCTTTTAAATATCTGTGATTGAGTGACTCACTGATGTTTAGGAAGATACACTTAAAAAAATATTATCTAAGAGTATATGAAACATTTATTTTGCTTCACTTATATAAGTAACTGGCTTTCATTCACTATAAAATAAAAATAATTGTTTCCCAAAATCCAGATTCTTCCTTATTATAAACATGAATTCCTTGTAGGAAGCATAAAGTTGTTTCAGTAAATTCAAATAGTCCTCTCTCATTGACTGACAGTGTAATTTAACATTCTCAAACCTTCATATCAAGACACACTAAAATTATTTTTAGTAATTCAGGAAAAAATAATTTAAAGCACACATTTAGACATGAAAAACTGAAAACATAATAAAATATTAATGGTAATACATGAAATATTCATTTATCATTAAAAAGCAAGGTATAACACATTTAAAAGCTCTAGGGCACTTAACATCTTTTAAAACCTCTGTTTTTTTTTCCAGAACCTACTCACTTTTGCACCTTAAAATAAAAAAACAAAGTACTCTTTCACAAGTGCTCTTTTTTCTCTTATAGTTCACAATATCAAAGGAAGGGCTTCCTCATACCTTATTAATGATGTCCAGTAAACCAAATAGTGTGCTCAATTTATAACACTAGGAAAAGTGAATTTCAGACACAGGTCTGTCCGTCTTTAGGACCAAGTGGCCTTTCCCTGATGTCTTGGTGATCTTGGTTCATCAAGAACTGATTGAGCCATGTTCAATATCTGTATAAAACAAAGAAAGATCTTTCTGAGAAAGAGTTCAGTAAAACACTTTTTAGGTTTGTTCTCTTATTCAAGTAAACCAATTATAATGTAAATTCTTTATTTACATAGAACCTTAGTCTTGGACAATGTTGGAGAAGTAGTTTGGTGCAGTAATAATCAGACATCTGCTTTTAAAAAGCAGTCCATTAGATGCAGTCCATGGCAATGCCTGGCATTTTGATAAAGCCAAGAGAGAAATACAGAGACTGACTCCATAAACAGTGTGTTTATTACATATAGTCTTACTTATTCTACCTTGCTAATGTGGAGTGTGTGACTATTTCCACTAGTGATGAATTTACAGTAGCTCAGGTAAAAGACTTATTGCACAATTTTATTTTGCATATCACTTTAACCCTCTTATTTGCTTGGTTTTTCATTCTATTTCTATGTCTAAGTAAAATAACCCAAGATCCTGTCATTTCCCTCCCACCAGATGAGGTCTATGTTAACTCAAATTTTAAAATAGGTTTATTAGCTTGTCTTTCCCTTTCCGCTACATCCTGCAAACATGTCGTTTATTTTCTGTTGTGACCTTGGTTCTTAGCAAGCCACTTCAAGTTCTTTTTGGAAACAAGGAAAGTAAGGGAAGAAAGGGTTAATTAACAGGATTGCAAATTACAAATTCAAAGCAAGCTGGATACTCTTGCATTTTCCAGGTGAATGAGCAGTTACTGGGATGAGAAGTCAACGATGTAATCAGAACACTGAGATCTCTGTGATGTTCATAAGTTGATATTTTAGCTGGCTGTTTGTCATGACAGTAAATTTATGATCTTAGAAAGGTATTTTAAAATATTTGGTAGAGTATAAAATGTAGTAAAATTACTAATAATGCATTAGAAATGTTTTGCATCTTCTGAGGTTATTTAATATAAGGTTTGATTTTTAAACTTCCAATACTGTAAGAACACAGTCTACAGAGAACTAGAAAGTAGGGTGTGGCAGAAAAAGGTGTGGGCTTTGGGCATTCTAACATGAGCACTTAATCTTACCTGTTCCAGTTACCTAAATGGTGCTTGGTAGGTATATTAATCTCCCAGAACTGAAATTTCCTTACCTTTCAAAATGATGATCCATGAGTTAAATGAGACCATACATAGATTATCCTTCAGTGGTGCAAGTTTCAACCATGAACCTTTTATAGTTTTAGGTTGAGTAGCCAATAGTAAGACATCAGAGCTGTGTTCCAGTACATAGTTATGACCGGAAAGTTCCACAGCCAGATCTTGGCACCATATTAAGAAATTCTTGGAAAGGAAAATACTGATATTATACCTATAGACTATAATGGGTAACCACTGAAAGCCTATCTAATTGTTAGAAAAAACATCTTTATGTACTCTCAATAACTTTTTAAAAATAAGGAAAATTATTTTTTATTTTGTAATTATCAGCTGCCATTTTTGATCTTACAATAACTAGCTTAAAAGGGTTAGTTGTTTCTAAAGGCTCCTCAACCCTTTAGTAGTCAAAAAGTAAAATTCTTTTTTTTTTTTTCTGAGTAAAGTATTAAATGTAGTGAGCAGTACCCCATTGGCCTTCATATTTTATTACTCTTACATTTAATGTATATATTCTGACTCAAGCCAATTTGAAAAGATTTATTTGTAGATTGGCACCAACATGTTTCTTTTCAATGAAACATTTGTTATCTTTGGACAGTTAGAGATATCTCATGTTTACCCAGAAAAGTTCTACATTTTGGTGCAGCAGTATCTGATTAAATGAAAACATGTTTTTAAAAGCAGTGGTTAGAGTATTCCCTCTTTAGACTTAAACTTTGACTTTTTCCATACAATTATAAAAATTGTTATGGATAGTTATTCAAAAGAGGCAGAAGTCACCATTAGTAAAAGTCATAACCAGATGTATTTGGGGGGACAATACCCTTCTTGATGTAAGCTCAATATCACACACACACACACACACACACACACACACACACACACACACATTTTGACAGTATGGAGCACAACCAGAAAAGTATACAGCACATTCTGGGAATGTGTAACTTAAATTAAGCCTACAGTTCAGATTTGGGAAGTAAACCCTCCTGGGATATTTAGACATTTTACTTTGAAGAATATTCTTTCTGTGCTTGATTTCAGCATTGATCATTTGTATTCTTCAGTACTATAATTCTCATTTGAAAGAGTTTTTTGTGTATTTTCTCTGCCTTAGATATTTTCTTATCCTGTGTTGGAAGTGAATCCCTTTCTCTTTACTCAATCAAAATCAGGAAGAGTTAGGCTGCATTTTAGAAGGGAGCAAAATAGTATTTGAAGAGTTCTAAACAAGATGAAGCCCAGGCTATTAAAGTCTATGTCTGATCAAAATTTGAAAGATATTAAAAATGAAGAACTAGGTAAGATGAAAATATACTAGAAAAAAAAAAACTAAACTAAAAATCCTAGGCACCACGGTAAAGTTTGCTGTAATGAATTGTGGGATATTGTGGACATTTTTTTTTCCTGAGCCAGATTAAAGAGGAAAAGGAGGCCTGTCTTCATTCACATAGATAATAGAACTACACATGGTTCTTGAGCTCATCAATAGTTTCCATGTAAGTAGTAACCAGTGGAATCTCAGATATAAGGCAAATACATCATTTTGCTACATGAATTTTCCAACAGTGTTTCTTTTAAAATACAAGTTTCTCCAAAACATTTTAATTCCATTAGTGTGTTGTAGATGGATATGAAGTTGTTGTCACATTTAGGATAGATTTACGAAGGCTGTGTAGTATAATTCTGTAGTACTAAAGAACATTGTGTCAAAATGAAGAGGAATGAAAGAAAAAAAGAGGGAAGAATTGAAAAGATGCTTCAATAATCTCACTAACTAAAATTATAATAATGTGGATTTTGTTAGCAAATTCAAAAAACTCAAAATTTGCCCTAGGAACTTTTCCATAAGTACAATTGTTGTATTATTGTTAGGAAATTAGGTTCATCCCTTTTGTCACAGGGGAGTCAACTTTTTACCCCAAATTATTTATTTATTATGAATTCCCACTCTTCAAAAAAATATTTTAACATTACAGTTATGTTAGCAGGACTTCATCTTGAAAAAAATGTTTAATATTTACTGTTTAATAAATGCTTGATAAGTGAACCCAATAAATACCTTATTGTTCCCAGAGCTGTATTTCTCAGACTTCAGCTCAATGGCATGTGACCTACACTATTACTTAGTTAAAATTTTTCCTCATTCATTTACTCAACAAATATTTTTTACATTTTATGTACTAGGCATGATTCAAGTCACCTTTTAAATAAACTCTTCAGTCTGTTTCTAAGGTATATTATATGTGATATCATAGGCATTGGATTTTTTGTATTCTTCTAATATAAATATTTAATTTGTATTAAAATGTTATAAAATTTCTAATATAAATTTACATAACGGTCTATCCATGTTCTGCCTAAAATAACTTCACAGACTACAGGTGGGACTTTGAGATAGACTATTTTGGTATTTATCATGCATTTTCATGTTCATTGTCTTCTTAGGTTATCTTATTGAGCCATAAATATGTACATAATCCCCATTTTACAGATAAGAAAACTGAAGTTCAGAGAAGTGTCATTCCTGAGGGCACAAATAGCAGGCCCTGTCCCCAGACTCCTAATTCTGGAATTTGGTTCCATTTATTTGATACCATTTCTCCAGGGACAGGAGCTGATCACAGTAGAAATGGAGTGGAGAGTAAAGAATGAAAGGAGCCTGAGATCTGCTATCTTATCACATTTATGAAATCTGTGGTTTATGTTCTATCCTTAATGTGACAGCTTTGCTTTAGCACTAAGTAGCAGAAAAGTAATCACCTAGAGATTTAATCCTGTTATCAGGATTAAAGTCTGTAGGGAATTTTAAAATCCTCTCTAGATAACTGGCTCCATTCAAAAGTGACCAGGGGTCCTTGTACCAGTTCTTCAATATATTCTGGACCCTCATTTTCTGAGGGTCAGTTTGGATCTCTGAAAGTTTTTTGTCTTCTTCAATCATTGACATTTAGATACTTCTGAGGTACTTACATGCTACTGGTTAAACCCCAAATAACTTAATTACCAAATGTTTAACATATGCTTTGTGAGCTAAATAACTGCCAGAGATTCAGACTTGTTCAGAAAAAAATCGTAAACCTCCTCCATATAATAGTGTCTGGCCTTAAAAGGTATGTTATTAACCATAGTGAACTGATTATAGGATTATTTATGTAAAAGAATTGTCATCTAAATAATTTGAATGAGTGAAAGGGTTTTAGGAGTCAAAATGTAAGTATATATATATATATATATATATATACTTAACACATAGGTGATATATGTGAACTATAAATATACATAAATTTGGGTTTCTTTTTTTATTCATAAATATCCTGTGTGAAAAGCTTTACATACCATGATGGCCAATATGACTGTTAGCAACATTATTACTAGCATGATGTTGGGCAAATTATGAGTAAAGAAACATTATAAAATCCTCCCCCATTTGCTTACCACCATACGAATTAAATAATTTATGGAAGTCCTGACTTGTGAAATATAGGAATATGAGATTATAATTACAGATTAAGATAGTAAGTGTCTTAAATTACTTGCTCCTTGTAAATTTTATTAGAAAATTGAGTGCTTAACCTTTTTGGTGCTACATTTACTTGTTTGATTTCCCAGTCCTTTCTTCATTTACAAGTTAGCTAAGTAATTTATGAGGGACATGTTCATTAAGTCACTAAATAGGATTTCTATTTGACTAGAAATGTATTTTTTCTTCTCTAAATCTAAATCCAGTTTTGGGGATACTGAATATTTCAGAACTGTTTGCATATTTCTCTAGAAACAAAACATACTTTTCATGCATAATATATTTCACAACAGTCGAGTGCTGAAATTCTGAAATGAAATAAATTAAACATTTACCTCTGCATATGTATAATCTTATCATATCAGAAATATCTTGTTTATATGTAGTTCCAGAAAGCACCACCATTGTTTTCTCTTTCAAGGTCATTGAATCCTTTATAATAATATAGTTTTATAGATTACCTTAAATTGAAATGCAGAAATGATGACAATTAATTCAGAAAATTACCCAAGCATAAAAAAATTTTGAAGATAAACTTGGGCAAGTCTCACCTAAATGTCACTTATATAATTTGATTTAAAATAACTTGACCTAATTTTTTAATGTCTGTGTATATGCATGTATATATCATATATGCATATTTGTTTTGAGCATATATGCATGCTTATATATGTTATGAGTGTGTTGGAATTGATATGGTAAAGAGAGAATGAATGCTTTAGATTCAGTTAGTGTCTCTGCTAGCCATGTTACTTAAACTCAAAGTTGCAAAAATAATTGTTTTACAATATTACTATATTAAATAGAAAATAGTGCCTTTACATAATAAATGCACAGGAAATGTTTTCACTGCACCCTACTATTTAGTTACAAATAAAAACTGAAGATTAAAATAATAATTTGACTTAATTTAGTTCTTTAAACTTAAGAAAAGCAAGGCAAGTTTTCATATTGGTGTCGTGCTTTCATTCACTGTGAATCTGCTTTTTGTTGCTTTTATCAATCCCTCCTGAGATCTTTATCAGTTTGCATCTAATAGAAGTGTATATTACAGGAAACTTTACGTCCTATTGCCAGGAAAGTCATCTAAATATAAGTGGAATTTCCTATAAATTACATAAATATAATGTGTGAAATATCTTCATATGCTCTTTGTGTGAGTGAATACAAGTTGGAACCTGATTTCTAACATGAATTGCAAAAATGTTTCCAAGCACCTTTTAAAAAAATCCACTTGGATCTATTTATCTTTCTTAAACTTTTCTAATGATATCAATAAGACACTTTTTCCCCCAAAGTCTCTACCAGAAGTGCTATTAGATAAAATTGTCTCTTGTTCTGGCTTGTCATAGATTGAATATCCCCAATGAATCCAAATATATAAGATTTTTGGCCTCTTCAGAACAAAATATTAAAGTCATGAGTAAGAACATGTTTCTATTATTTGACTCATTTTCACACTGAATGACTACAAATGCCTGTTTTCAGTCTTGGAAATGGAAACACTTTATTAAATATTACTGTGTAGTAAGGTTGAAGGGGTCAAAGAAAAATGTTTTATAATTAATATTCACAAGTCAGAAATATTTAAAGACAAAAATAATAGTAATTTCCTTGCTGATTAATGTTTATTTTCTTATCCATAGCATTTTAGCAAACTCTGATTTTTTTATAGAATAGTGTCACGAATTGGAAAAAAAACTGGGTTAAGGGTTAGCGTGAGGGAATTGCCTGGAAGCTGTGTTTATACAGCAAGCAAGACTGTTTTTACTTACTTTTTTTAAGATCAATAAAAGTAGTAATATTTTTCTAGAAGTGTTTTTATTCACAAGTTACATACAAGTTTTCCTATTTATTGATTGCTTTTCTTAGGACAGGTAGCTTCAAGAGCCATGATAGGTTTTTTGGGTTGGCAGTAATATCTACACCTTGCCGAACCCCCCCCC